ATTCTCGTCTCCTCTCACTCTAAAGTGTTTGTGAAAAAGTTATATAGTTCCAACTTTGGTCCGGTATTTTTTCAACAGGGGAAAAACGAACTCAAAGTCGGTCGACCACAATATTCAATATCAAAATTATATATAAGCAGTGTGTGACTATAGTTTCGGCTCTACGGCCATCTTCAGACACAATTAAAAAGTACCTGTTATGTGGAGAAACATCTTAACAATAGAAACATTTTTATCAGTAAAAATCGGATCGTTATAAAAAATTAATCAGTCCAGCCTCACAATCAACAAGATTTGTAACGGCTAAAAAGCCAAAAGAACATTACAATAAGTAAGTTCAACATCAAGGAAACTAATTAAATGGAAATCTACTCGAGTGAGCTTCATCTGACTGTAATCAAACCATCTAAAGATGCGGAAAGTGTCTTTCCTGCACTCGACTGCTTTCCCGAACTCCGATATATTGAAAATTATATTATCAATTCATCATTAATGAGACAAGACTTGAAATAATGACAGTTCGCTAAATCCACACTATATACCTCTTGATAGTCAACAATTTCAGCGAAATATTGAGTCGAACTGTTTGGAATCAATAGTACTCACAAATATCTGTCACAGTAATTTTCATTTCGGAATGAAAAATCAGCAAATTCAGTACTGTCAGTTGAATTCGGAATCTAGCCAGAAAGTACCTCAATGATTGATCAAACACAGCATAAAACAAGAATAGTTTTGTGTTATATAGCCGTAGAAAATTATTATTTTCCACGACATTTTTACAGATTTTCAACGTTTGATTATTTCACCATTCATCAACGTTTCTTCAACGTATTCCATTGGTGAAATCAAGGGTAATAAGTATTGAAATAGTTAATTATCATACTAGGGAAAAAAGTAGTAGATTTTAGCTCCATCAGGTTGTGTTGTCAAAAAAAGACAAAAAACCGTGAGCTAAAATCTAATATTTTTCCCGTGTATAATACACTATTTTTTTCTGTGACAGAAGAAAGGACGAATCAATATCGAGAAGATATTACATTATTTTGAAATCTGAACATTATCGACGTGAAATTTTAAGTTTTTACCAGTAGGGACACCTGCGTTGTAGGCATCTTTATCATTCTTTTGAAGTAATATCTGATGTCACTTCTGTCAGTCTAATTCTGTGATTTGACTTCAAAAAATTGCGAATTTAGTGGCTGTTTAGTAATATAAGTAACCGCGAAGTCGAATGGAAGATAAAATGACTTGCAGTTCTTTCTTAATATATATCCGGGAAAAAAGTACTCACCACAGAAAAAAGAAATATTCTCAGATATATAATTTTGAATACAAAAAATGGATATACAGGGTGTTGCGAAATTCGACCGACAACGCTTGACAGGTGATAGCTCTCGTGATTTCATAATCACTGAGATAGGGACATAATGGTCGTCAAGTGTTCAGTTCTCGAGATACAGGGCGTTGAAGTTGAAAAATAATAATAGTTTTTTCGCAATATCTCAGAATTGATTGAATATTTCACATTCAAATTCGGTATATGGTTTTATCTTTCAATGGTTCATTTTCTGACAAGAAAGACATTCCAAGAATTTCATCCAGAGGTGCACTACACAGGGGGTTGTGATAACTTTTCCTCCCATATTTTCCACGCCCCTGATGAAATTCCGATTATTTTCAATTTCCCGAATCAATTGTTCAATAATGTTAAAAAAATGCATCACCTTCAATTTAGCTGAAATAAACAGTTCTAGAGATATTTGATCCAAAATAGAAGTTTGCATAGTAATTTTTCATCTTCCTCAGTAGTAGAAAATTACAAAAATATTTGTTTTCTCTTTATGCGTGGAACAACTATTTCTGGTCAGCTACAGAATGAGATCTGAATAGTATCTAATCTACTCAACACCAGAAAAATATTTTTGTAATTTTCTACTACTGAAAATGATGAAATATTACTATGTAATCTCCTATTTTGGGTCGACCATCTCGAAAACTGTTCACTTTAGCTCAGTTGAAGGTGATGCATTGTTTGAACAAAATTGAACAATGAATTCGAGGAATTGGAAATAACCGAAATTTCATCAGTGGCGTAGAAAATATGGTAGGAAAAGTTACCATAATCCCCTGTAGGGTACCACTAGATGTAATGTCCAGAATGGCTTTCTGGTCAAAAAATGACCCATCCAAATATGAAACGACATACCGAATTTGAATGCATTATATTCGATCATTCTTGAGATATTGCGAAAAAACTATTTCTATTTCTTAACTTCAACATATCTCGAGAACTCTGTCCCTATCTCAGTGATTATGAAATCACGAGGGCTATCACTTGTCAAGCGTTTTCGGTCGAATTTCGCAACACCCTATATACATATATGAAGAAATACATTGAGAATTCGCATTCTCCATGTGAAGAAAATAATAATTCTTTCTCGGTTTATTCAACAGAAAACAACTACTTTCCTGGCTATATGCCACGACGAACACTGCATTACATCTATTGAATACCCACGATAAGAATTTGAAAACAAGTAGAGAATTTGCATTCTCCGTCATAAAAAGATATGCACATTATAATAAGTACTCTATGAAGAGTGTGAAGTGTTCTCTCCATTCATATATTATAATGATCAATATTTGATAATATTATTATATGATATCCATATAATTACCCAGTGATCTCGGTCCTTCACTGCTTTGCTTGCTTCCTCCGCAGCCCCACGAATGGGGGCTGGGCCTGACCCCCCGGGTCTCAGTCGACTTTTTTGTTTCAAAGATAGGTCGCAGTTCACCATGGTAGGTGGATCTCATCACGTGGGCGCGAAAAAAGCGTGCTTAGTCTTAGCTCGTTCAAATTACCAGATCCGTTAGTTGTCGAAGAAAACAAAAGAGTATCTATATTTATATGCTCGCACAACAGACATAGACATTAAAACAAAAGATAATATCGAGGTGGCTATAGGAGATGGAAATTATAATTACGTTACATTGGCAAACATTTTTTATTACTATGCATCAGAAATGTTTGTAGTTCACTAATGACGTTATATATGTATAGTAATCGACTCTCCGAAAACTTGTATCTATATACAGGGTGTCCAAATTTGCTGGGACACAGAGCTACCACGTGTAATACAGTTCAAAATAAGTTACTTATATAAAAAGCATGACTTGAAGGCTAAACCGTGGACCGTGAACCGTTTCACTTTTTCAATTTATTAACTTCCGATTCTTTTTCTGCTCTGATATTGAAAGTTTTTCGAAAAGGGGAAAGATTTTTTTTGTTCTGGAAAATTATTAGGGGAAACATTATTCGATTATCAACTTGAAGAACCTAGAGTCATTATTTATTCCAATACAGGGGTTTTATGACAAAAGATGATATTTTTTTCATTCATATTATATGATTGGTTGATGATTAATCTGAGCTATATACCTAACGTGTAGGTAACGATAAATTGCTGCAACAAAAATATGAATTATGTCATGAAGTCGGAGAAGAACTGAACTGAACTGTGTGGTTGGAAGTAAATGAGGAAATTTAACTTCAGACAATGAAAGTTTTATGATAAAAGAGGAATTAAAATATACCTCACATTCAGCGTACTTATTGGTTGAAAATTAAATAACTCCAACATTTCAAATTAGAATATCACTCCTAAATGTCTCGGTTAATCCCAGTTTTTACACATTTATGACCTTTAATTTTTCTAAATCCTAACTGTCCGACTAACTGTCATGAGGTGCGGAGTGTGCCAATAAGCCGGAAATATTCTTGTTAGTTTGTACTCGAGAGACATGTTATTCAATTCAATAATAATAGTCAAAACTATGGTTTTCTTCTAATATATGCTTCGCGTATGTTTTATTTGTTTTCTTTTTCAAAAAATTCATCTTATGTTCATGAATGCTCTGATTAAACGTACGACCTGTCTGACCGATATATTCCTTAGGACAAGATTCACAATTGAGTTTGTATACCCCTGATTTTTCGAATTTGAAAGTTTTGTCTTTATTATTTTTGATAAACCTTCCCTACGTGTTCTTTGTTCTATATATGCTACTTTTGTGTTCTGTTTATGTAGAAATGAAGATAATTTTTCAGTTGATGATCCGAAATAGGTTAAACTCTTATAATTTTGATTATTATTCTTGATGGTAGGATGAACTTCTTGAATAGATTTATTATGAAGTTTTCAGAAAGAAATACTGTCTATCAAATTAACGTTGTATTCGATTTTGACTACATCAAGAATAATAATCAAAATTATAGAACCTTGACCTATTTCGGATCATCAACTGAAAAATTAGCTTCATTTCTACATAAACAGGACTTAAAAGTAGCATATAGAACAATTAACACGTTGGGAAGGTTTATCAAAAATAATAAAGAGAAAACTTCTAAATTCGAAAAATCAGGGGTATACAAACTCAATTGTAGATCTTGTCCTGAGGTATATATCGGTCCGACAGGTCGTACGTTTAATCAGCGCATTCATGAACATAAGATGAATTTGTTGAAAAAGAAAACAAATTCAACATACGCGAACCATATATTAGAAGAAAACCATAGTTTTGATGAAAATTTCGAAATTCTACAAGTAGAAAATAAAGGAATGAAATCATTTTGAATCATTAGAAATTAACAAACTCAAAGGTTTTGACATTTCACGTAACGATCAATTAGACCTCAATAGTTGCTATCAAACCTTTCAAGGTAACCCGGTATACCGTATTTTAATGTAGATATTATGCCTAATTTCCGAAAATGAAGGTTTATAGAACCTGTTCACAGGTAACCAATCCTTCGAGTTGGGAAAGTAGGATATATAATAGTAAAGCGAGCCAAGGTTGGTTTAGTTCATTGTACCAGTATATCACCTGACGAAGCTACTGTGTTAGCGAAACATTTTGTGTGTTTAAGAATTTTGTGGAAATCTCATCATTTGCGAAAAAATTACCACCACTTTTGTAATTACTGTTGCATGACAATGTTATTTGACAGTTCTCTCATTCCTCAGAAAATTCCTATTGTCCCAAAAGAAGAGCGGGACTACACTGTACAGAAGGATATTACCCACGAACTAAGCTGGCATGCAACACCCAATGAGCAAATTCTCATCGAAACGATTTCTGGAAAAATTATCACATTGAACGTTGAACCTGGTGAAACTATCAGGGATGTGAAGCTCGATATCAATGACAAAGAAGGCATCTCCTTAGAAAATCAACTTTTGATGATGCTAGGCAAACAGCTTGAAGATTCCCATACATTGGATGAATATGACATCAGAGGAGGGTCCCCTTTGAAATTGTTACTTCGTAGTAACACATGACATGGCACACAATAGATGAAATATATATTTTGAAAGTGATTCTTGATTTTTCTTAGTTAGAAAAGTAGCCCCATATTTTCTACGGCACTGAAGGAACTAACATTGGTTTTCAGAATAAAATAACTCTGTAAACTTCAATCAAAATAATTGGTACATTTCAAATATGCTTCAAGAAACTACTTATTTCATATTTTACCTGAAATTGAAAAGTATAAAAAAACAAGCTTTTTTGCAATGAGTTGACGTAGTTTAAAAGGATACCGAATGATTATATGATGATTATTTCCACAGGATATTTAATCGGATATATGCAAACACTGATAATTTGATTTTCGCACTGTGTAGATTTCACGACATCAGTAAATTTTTCTTTATTTCAATAACTTGGTAGAATCATGTAGAATTCAATGCAAAACAAAACACCTTTCCTCTAGAAAAGCCGATCTCACTGTGCCCAACATAAGCTTCTCAGGAGTAACCATACCGTTGAAGACATCCATCTCGATATGCTTGGTATTATACTATCAGCAATAACGTTTCTTGGGAAAATCATGTGAGATCAATTGCTAAAGGTCTATCCCAAAAACCAGGACCTATTTTACTTCCAGTCAGCTGCTTATGATTTATGAGGCACAGATCCGACCTGTCCTGGAATACTGTTTCCATATTTGGAGTGCAGCACCCAAACATACCCTGAAACTGTTGGATTCTGTCCAAGAGAGGGCAATTCGTCTCGTGGGTGATGCCTCGCTCACAAACTCACTCACTTCTCTGGAACACCGTAGAAAAGTTGGCAATCTGGCTCTTTTTTATAGATATATTTGTTATAATATGATATTTTATTATGAGGATTTAGAAATGAATGAAGTAGTCCACAGTGTAGAAAAGTATCTCAGAATGAGTGATGATAGAAAAACTGAATTTAAGAGGAAAATATATGAAGACTCTGATTTGGGGCAAGTATTAAAATTTTGCAAAGATGGGTGGAATACCAATAAACGCTATACAGGTGAACTAAAAATATATTTTCAACTTAAGAATGATATACATGTTGTTGATGATTTGATATTTTATCAAGATAGAATTATTGTACCGAATAAACTGAGGAATTCAATGCTGACGTTACTGCATGAAGGTCATTTTGGAGTTAATAGAACTAGGGATAGGGCACGAGAAATTTTTTTCTGGCCTGGTATGTCATGTGACATAGAAAAAATGATTAAAAACTGTGAGGTTTGTGAGCGTCATAGGAGTGCAAATGTTAAAGAACCATTGATATTACATGATATACCTAAACTACCGTTTCAAAAAATCGCATCTGATATTTTTCAGTTTGGAAATAGAACTTATTTGATCATAGTTGATTATTATTCAAAATGGTTAGAGATTGTTCCATTGAGAAGTAAAACGAGTTCAGCAATAATTGATGTATTCAAAAATGTTTTTGTAACACACGGTGTTCCTGATGTGGTAATTTCTGACAATATGCCTTATTCTTATTGGGAATGTTCAAAGTTTGCTAGGGAATGGGGATTCCAATTTGAAACTAGTAGTCCCAAATATCCCAAATCAAATGGATTTGCTGAAAGAGCTGTTCAAACTGCAAAAAGCATGCTCAGAAAAAATGATGATTTAAGAACTGCATTGATGGAATATAGAAATACTCCTATAACAGGACTGGGAAAATCACCTGCTGAATTATTATTCTCCAGAAATTTGAAAACTAAACTACCAGCAATATTTGATAAAGTTAAGAGTGAATTGAATGATTTCAATGTAAATTTAGAGAGTAAACGAGAGAAAGGCAAACAATATTATGACATGCATGCTAAAGTAAGACCGGATTTTGTTGAGGGTCAGAAAATTGTGTTTAGAAACAGAGATCATCTGTGGGACCCCGCAATAATAGTATCTAAACTAGATTTTCCACCTCGTTCTTATTTCATCAAAACTAAAAATGGAACTATATTGCGGAGGAATAGTTATGATCTGAAACTATCATCATCTCATATGAATTTAGAAAATAAGTACCTATTGAGAAAACAGTAAAGACATTTTTTGATGAACATGATTGTTTTTATTCTCAAATATGATATTTCAAAAGGGGAAGATGTTATAATATGATATTTTATTATGAGCATTTATAAAATATTGTACACTATGTATAGTTGGCATATTATGAATATGGGTTGCGATTGTAACAGGAGATTGATATATAAATAAATTGTTTTTGAACTGTTCTTGAAATCATGATCATTTAATAATATTTGTGATATTATTACAATATTCATGGACGATGCTCTTCTGAAATATCAACGATTGTTTCTCCCTTGGCGGTCCCCGCGAAATTAACCCGTCGAGTTGAGGCTTCGCACCCCTTCGTTGTCACTTTGGAGACCTGCAGAACATCTCTTTCCAAAGACTCGTTCATCCAACGAACAGCAAGGCTCTGGAACACATTGCCAAGGGAGGTGTTCCCCGAGGCATATAACCTCCAGAAATTTGATAAGAGAGAAAGGAATCTAGTCAGCTCTGGCCGGCCAGAGCTGACTATCCTCTTTTCTCATTTAGCCAAAATTGGTGAGGAGTTTCAATTGTGAAACTGAGACAAGTTTCAACCAACACTTTTTCAACCTAAATATATTGGATGACAAAGAGAACCAGGTCATGCACGCCTGTATCTTTTGGGTGGTTAATGTAATAAAATTTTGACATGTTGACAGTTGATATAGGTCATGTTCATCCATGTATTTTTTCATCGCATTTCCGAATCTGAAAGGCCATTCTACATACAGTGTCGTCTTCAGTGGTTGAATTATTGGGAGGTGCTAGAATCTGGCATGGGATTTGGTCCTCCATTATCAGTCTATCTAATGATGATCACTTGAAATTGGCTACTCGATAAATTCAATGTATACACAAAAGCACATCTGAATTTTTTTATTTGAATAGGAACACCCAGTTTATTGTTACACTTTTGAGTAGATCTCATCATTATACAGGGTGTTAACAAATAAGTGTCACAACGGTTAACTGTAGATTACTCATAATAAAAGAAACATTTCTTTCCTCTTCAAAAATTTTCTCCGGGCTTCCGTTTTACAGATACAGGGCGTCAAAAAATCAAAAATTTTCAGTTTAATTAAACACACTTTACAACACTTAACAAACTTAACAATTCGAAAACCAGCATCGAGACCAACATACTCAAGAACGTGACATTTGATTGAACATATTATCAGGCAGTTCTGAGGTGTTTATTTCTAGTGGATTTTCAGACGATTTTTAGAGATTTTGTATGTTCTTATTCATAAAGAGCCATTTTTCTCGGTAACTGTTCACTTTAGAGCATTGAGACAACAGGACGTTTTTTGTGTGAAAGCTATTGGCGCTTCAGAATCTACTTTGACAATTACAATTTTTCCAGTGGCATAAATGTTTGGGGGGTTAAACCCTTATGATGCGTTGAATTCTCCTCCACTGACATGTCCAAGGAAATTGATCAAGAGCCCTAAAAGTAGTCATTATTGATGATAAAGTGTGTACGAAGGCTCAACTCCGTAGCTCAGACGGTTCCTGAGATAGCAGCAAAAAACAGATTTTTTTATATTTTTTTGACGTCCTGTATCTTTATAACGAAAGCCCGGAGAAAAATTTCGAAAGGGAAAAAAATGTTTCTTTTTCCATGAGCAATCTACAGTTATTCAACAAAACTGGGTTTGATCGGATTTTTTCAAATGACTACGAAGATATAGCAAAAAATAAAATGATCTGATGAAGAATGAGTAATAATATTTTTCTACTCCTTACTCGGTAAGTACTTCATTTTGATACTGATTTGAGGGAGGAAAACACGTTCTACGTCCATAGGGAGGTAAGTAAATATTTACCTCCCTAGCATCGAATACTCACTCCATAAACTTGCAGGGGACTTTAGGGTCTGTGACTTCTCTACAAAGTACGCAAGCAAAGAGTTCTCGGTAATGCTTTCACCAATTGCAATATTACTGCACCAAGCCTTGAAGTCCTTGTAACACCGATTGTACCGTTCCTTCGATTTCTGAGGTAATAGAGCAGCACAAGCTGCATTCGCAACTGCATCGATATCCATTATTTCGATTTTTTTAATAAAATGACACTGACAGAACATTTGTTTGATTATAAACAATATGAATTCCATAGCGATCAACGTGTAACACTAGGAAACCTGTCATACATACAGGGTTTTTCAGTTAGATTAGTCAAATTATATAAGTAATTGAAAAACATTTTTTTTAATCTAAGGGAACTGGAGTAGAAAAAATATAATACAAAACTCGGGAGGCAGTGTTCTTGACCAGTCCCGGACTATTTTGCAAGCCCTCGCTATCGCTCGGGCGCAAACAATGTCCTCGACTGGTAAGTATCACTTGCCTCCCTTGTAGTGTAAATAACTATTATATTCCATTGATACAACACAACTGTAATCGAATGAAAATGAAATAATTACGACTTCAACTGTTCAATACGTGCCTAAAATTTCTGACTCTTTTAATAACGTCAATGCGAAGTGATTATTGGATATCTACAAATCCACAGATTTATATTTCTTCCACTGTCATTATTCCGACTGTTCTTTGACCATATCTTCTTACTTATTTGAAAAAAATTCCATCGAAGTCAGTATTGTTGAATTTGTAATAATGCATTATTGTTAGATTGGATTAGATTCAGGATGGGGCCTTCGGACTATCTGCCTCCACACCGCGACGTTTCAGATCTATTGTGTCTGCCTCAAAATGAGACTCCATAGGCTAGCTTTCAAATCCCCTGTGTAACTTTGGGCATTTGGTTTTTCATCTCCCAGCGTAAGGAATCTCATAGTCTTGAAGTCCCACTAGTATTCTAGCTGAACTTCGTTACTGTCTCAGTAGATATTCTGTGAATGTTGGCGATGGTTTCTTACTAAACCTCTTTGCCTGTCTCATTCCTGGCTAGTTGTTCCTCTACTCTCAAGATTT